GGGAACCCTCGGGGGATGACCACATGCTGGCTTAGGCCCGCTCCCTGGGGGATTGGGCCTAAACTGGCAATCAGACATCCCTCTGGAAGCCTGGGAGCCCTCAGGGGATGTCCACTTGCCAGCGGAGGCCCCCGCTGGGGTGCCTGGCCAGCCTGGGTGTGTGGCTGATGGCTGTTTTCAGGGTGGCCACAGCCCCCAGCCACCCAAGCTCCCAGTGGAGGCTAGCTGGAAGCCGGTATCTAGGATTTATTTGTCTTCTATAATTGAAATTTTGTTGCCTTTTGCAGAGGCCACAGCCAGCCAGAGCAGGCGGGAAGCTAGGCTTCCTCCATCTCCAGGGCAACCAAGCCTCCTGCTTGCTCCAGCTCCGTGGCTGCTGGTCGCCATCTTGGTTGGGTTAATTTGAATATAGCCCCTCTGATTGGCTGGTGGGCGTGGCTTGGGCATAGTGAAGGTATGGTCAATTAGCATCTTTGTCTTTTATTAGTGTAGATTAAACTTCATTTTTTAGAAAAGCTTTACAGAAAAATGGCAAAGATAGTATAGAGAGTTCCCATCTACCCCATACACAGTTTTCCCTATTATTAACATTTTACATTAAGTATGGTGTATTTGTTATAACTAATCAGCCAATATTAACCCTTTGAGTGCCAACCAATATCCTAGGAACTATGCTAAAATTGCCAAGGCATTTTTGCTGATTTTACAGCAGTTTAGGGAAAAAATTATGAATCGCAAGTAAATGAAGTTACATTCAAAAACTTAAGGAAACCTTTACTACATGGACATATTTAGTAATATCATCATCACTAATAAAAGCAGACTTAGAACAAGATGCCATTTCAAAGCTTTGATAGTGCTCCCGGCACTTTTGGCGAAAGACAGAAGGAGTGCAATTGTGCTCCCCGGCACTCTAGGGGTTAATACGTTATTAACAGTTTATTCAGATTTTTTTAGTTCTTATCTGATGTCCCTTTTCTGTTCCAGGATCCCGTCCAGGGTAGCATATTACAGTTAGTTGTCATGTGTCTTCAGGTTCCTCTTGGCTGTGACAGTTTCTCAGACTTCCCTTGTTTTTAATGACCTTGACAGTTTGGAGGATTACTCATCAGATATTTTGTAGAATGTCTCTCAACTTGGCTTTTCTGATACTTTTCTCATGATTAGACAGAGGCTATGGGGTTTCAGGAGCATGCCACAGAAGTAAAGTGCTATTCTCATCACACCATATCAAGGGTACATACTGTCAACATAACTTATCACTGTTGGTGTTGACCTTGATCACCTAGATGAGGTAATAGCTGTCAGGTCTCTCCATTGTAAAGTTACCCCCCACCCCCTTTCCATACTGAACTCTATGAAAGGAAGTCTCTCTGCACAGCCCATGCTTAAGGAGTGGGCAGTTACGCTTCACCTCCTTGAGGACAATGTCTCTCCATAAATTTGGGGGGATTCTTTTCAGCACAATCTTCCATAACCAACTCCTACCTACCCTTTTTAGCTTCATCCAGCCACTCCCTCTTCCCCCCACTCCAGGTTCATCACACTGCAGAGCGCTACTGGCAGATCCTTGATAATTCTATTCCCTCTCTAGTCTCTTTGTCCTTGCTATTGTCACTCTCTCTGCATGGACAGCCCTCCCTTAACTCCCTCCCTTGCGTGTTCAATTGCCCTTTAACCTTTAAGGCTGCTCAAGTACCCTGCACTCTAGGAAGTCCTCCCAGAACACAATCTGCATCAAGAGACTTTCCCCCGGGTCCCCAAATACCCCGTTTATGTCTCCATCATGGTGTTCATTCCTGTTGTTCATTCTTAACACTCTTGCCTGTTAGACTGAGAATCTGAAAGCAGGGGCTGTCTTTTTAGTTGCCTTTCCCTTGTGCCCATACAGGGCACACATCAGACACTTTGTTGATGTTTTTATTTTATTTTATTTTTTTAAAATATATTTCACTGATTTTTACAGAGAGGAAGGGAGAGGGACAGAGAGTCAGAAACATCGATGAGAGAGAAACATCGATCAGCTGCCTCCTGCACATCCCCTTCTGGGGATGTGTCCGCAACCCAGGTACACGCCCCTGACCGGAATCGAATCTGGGACCTTTCAGTCCGCAGGCTGACGCTCTATCCACTGAGCCAAACCGGTTTTGGCTTGTTGATGTTTTTTGAATGAACGAATTATAAAGCTTCCAGAATCCCAGATATGAGATTTCTTCTTTGAATTTCCAGCCCTCTGTCTTGTCAACAATCACCATATTCTGCCTTCCATTATGGTTACTTGGGTGCTTGTCTTACTCATTTTAACTCCACTGGTCTTCAAAGGCTGGGGCCCTGTTTTGTTTTTCATGTTGTTTCATGATGTTTCTTACTGCCTTTGCCTTTCCTGTGCTTTCTAGGACAGTGTCTTGCACAAAATAGGTGCTTAATAAATCTTTTTGGAATGAGTGAATGAGTTAATGAACAAATAAACGAACCTGCCTGCAAATGTAATTGATGAGAATAAATGACACAAGAAAAGGAAGGATAATGGACTGGAAAATCAATGGTAGAATTTCCAAACTAAACAAAGTTGATTGGTAATACATTGTGTCCTAGCACATTATTTCCGAATTTTTATCATGTGCAAATAGATGTTGTTGTATTTTTATCTGAGTGGAGAAACTTAAACACATCACTGCATTCTGAATGAAAACAAAAGCCACTTTCACAGCTCCTTAACAACAGAAAGTCAAGCCTGATTTAGCTCTTAGATGGACCTTCCCCTCAAAAGACATACTCAGTTACTCTTGAAAATATTTGACCGGTGCCTAACATACGTTTCTTCCTTCCCTTTAAAGACCAAAAGGGTTCAAATCCAAGATTTTTAAAATAACTTTTTTCTCTATAATAAAATAGGAGTTTTCTAATTGTTCACTGTTGGGGAGAAGTGAATAGAGACCATCCATTCTGGAAGGAAAAATAATTCTTTAGAGCCAGATATATTCCCACTATCACCAGCACCAAGCTCCGCTGCTGCAGAAGAACCCCACTTTGGGGAATTTGAATCAGGCAATTGAGTACGTCTTTTTCTCTAGCAAAAAGGACATTTCATGGATTATTTTTTAATTACTGGTGTTTGATTAGAACAACCTGTAGAGGGCGTCCTTGCACCAAGAGCCACAGGGGCTTGAGTAATACTAAGTCAAAAATTAAAACCACACTTTCTGGAGTCAAAGAAAATGTCCATTGTTTTGTGAAACTATCTTTACCTAGGAGGCACTTGGCATTACAATGCTAAAGTGTTTTAAAGATTGCCCAATGCATATGAATACATTATATAAATGAATATTCTCTGAAATTTTTGAAAAGCGGTTAACTATTTTTATTTTAAAGGGAGAACAGTTGTGACGTTTTGGATTCAAACAGACTTAAATATTATTTACTTATCAGTATGAGGTATAGCAGTGAAGAGCATGGGCTTTGAAATCACGGTGCCTGGGATTTGAACCCTGACTCTGCCACTTACCAGCTAGGTAACCACAGTCAACTTATTGGACCTTTTTGAGCCTTGTTTCCACATCAATAAAATGGAAATAATTATAGTACCTACTTAAAAGAGTTGTGAGGATTAAGTAAGCACCTCAAATAAAAATCCTTTTAAAATTAAGACACTGTAAGTTCAAATAGTCATGGGCTTATCTAAATCTCTTCAAAGATCAACATCTGTACAACTGAAAATATTTCATAACTGGAACCGCATATTCTGTTCTTTTTAGTAACTTCTCACGACCTAATATTTAATAACCTCTCATGACCTAACGTTTATTTAACTCAATGTGTGCACATGCTCAGCTTCTCCTCTGTTGTTTCTGTTTGCTTTTCCCTCTTGAACTGTCCACAAAGCACCGAAACACCGCCCCCGCCCAGACACTCAATCCTTGGGCATTTGTCGCAGCATCTGGGTACTAAAGAACAAATAGAAGAAAACAACCCCTTTCGGAGTCTGAAATCTTTCTTTAAAAATAAAAAGTAGCCCCAATCTTTTGCTTCAGTTTTCTTTGCTCATCCGAGGGGTTGGGTAAGAGGAAAGTTAAGTCCTCCCTGCTGGGGTCGGGTGGGTGTGTGAGGCTGTAGCTCACTGCCGGTCAACTGCCCTTCCCTCGGCAAGACCAGCGCCGCGGGCTTGTCCTCCAGCGCCTGTGATTTCAGGACCAGAGCACGCCTCCGAGTTTTTTTTGGAAACACCAGTAAATATAAAGATATTCACAACGTTTGGGACCCCTATCCCTAGGGCGTCAGGGACTCCTGTCACCCAGAGCCCGGGGAACTCTTCCTGGCGCTGCCCGGTTAGCAGAGAGAGGGGCCTCCCTCGATGTGCAAGCACCCTCCAGGGTGTCTGACAAGAGCAGAATGAAAGCCCGCGCCCCGAGTCCAGCCCAGTGCCTGCGATCGGGGCAGCAGTGGACGCTGGAGACTCGGGTTTTAAGTGCAGGGCAACGCGCAACATGTCAGCATAGCGCGGATCCGAGAGGATGGCTTTGCCGAGAGAGAGGAATGATGGGCGGAAAGGGAGAAGTGGGAGAAAATGTGCCTTCTTTTAGCATCAGGGTAGAAATGGGACCCGCCTTCATCATCATCGCGCTCAATTAAGCCCTGAGATCTCAGCTCACTCTATTTCCCGACGCCCCTGCCTCGCCTGGCTGGAATCATAGGCGAGTGTAGTCCTCGGGGTGCCTCCCAACACCCCTTTCGCAACCACTTCCACCCCGCGCCCCCTTTGCCCGCGTTCCCACTGGGCCCAC